AGACACTAGGGTTTTAGTTAATGCCCAGACAATGACCCCATACATTTACACCGCCTCTACAGTGGCTCGAAAGTATCTCCGCTTGATATTGTCTGGTAGAACAGATTTCTACATTACATCCATCTAAGGCTGTTAGAACCTACACTCGGATGCCGAGAGCTAAACTCAACATTTGGAGGACATTTCAGAATATTGCTGTTGAGAAAAGATTCATGAGGGATCTACTGTTCTGGATACCTAGCCATGTAGCAATATGAACTCACAATATGGGACAATTCTTCTTTAATCGAGTTAGCTCGGAGTCTATCACGCCAACCATCACGGTCCTGCATCAAGGTCGGAAGGTCATTAGTGTAGTATCATAACATAGCTGGTCAATGTAGGTGGTTGCTGGGCGACCATTTTGCTCCATGGTTAAGTGTCCAGAACAGTAGATCACTCATGCATTCTTGTTTTTTTTCGACAGCAATGTCCTGCAAAGTGCATTCTGCGCTCGCGTAAGATTGTAGAAATATCAGGGATGTGTCCATAGAGCTGTGATTTAGTTGGATGTTATCTCCTAATGTTAAGTATAGCTCTCAGCATCCAAGTGTAAGTTCCAAACGCCTTAGATCGATGTAATGTAGAAATCTGATCTATAAGACAACCTCAAACGGAGATTCTTTCGAGCCACTGTAAAGGCAGTGTTAATGTATGGTGCCACTGCTTGGACATTAACTAAATTATTTACATATTTTTAAAAGTCCCTTTTCGGGAAAAGCGCAATTGTTTTAAATCATAGAGAAGAAGATATTTTATAAAAAGAAAAAAATAATTATTTCTTTTTATAAATAAAAAAACCTAAGCAATCCTAAGTTACTCGATAACTTGCCTTAAAGTGTATATTTTTGTTTTCTAGGCTTTCAAAAGAAAGCTGGAGACCCTACTAAGATTATTATCGGTGGGTGCAATCTTAACAACATAAGATACGCATTACACTGTTTTGATAGCAGACGCCGGAAGAAAACTGCAGGAACTCTTGGAGAATGTAGTATAGAAATGCGTAAAAAAAGGACTCACCATAAATTGTAAGAAAACAGAATGTATGGTTGTCAGCAAGTGAAAAAGCCCAAGATGTGAGCGATGAAAGCATCAAAAGCAAAGAATTCTTTTTCTTTTCTTTTTGTGTCGTGTCCTTTCAGGATGTAGGAAATCATGGCTCTTCACTTTCCCCTGTCTCTTGTTGCTCTCACTAAGTTTCATTCCTCTGCCACCTCCCACAGACCAGGTTCTGTCATTCACTTCGCCAGGTATGTCATGCGTTACTTTCCCAACCTGTGAGTATCAGATTCTCCAGGCCCTCCTTTCTCATTACGTGTCCCAGAAATTTCATCTGCCTCTTCCTTATGTTAAGTATAAGTTTCCTCCTTGTTTGCATCCTCTCTAAGACCTCATCGTTGCTCGTACGCTAGGACCATTGATATGCTCAGCATTCCTCTATAGAACCACATCTCCGTTGCCGCAAATCTCTTTTTCATCTTTGAAGAAACGTCCAACATTCGCTAGAGTAAAGGAAGACAGACGTCACGTAACAGCTCATTACTCATTTCTTTCTTACCAAAGAACAGAAGTCTAAATACCTGGGAAGTGTTTTTGTAACACCTTATCCATGCCCCAATGAACCCACGCACTCCACAAGACCGGCCGTTGATCCGGTATAGTCGAGTATTACAGGTTAGACACAAGTCTTCAGTTCCCAATGTCAATTCGAAGTCACTCTCCAGCCACGTTGTGATTGCTTTGATCCTGGAGAGTGGTCATCAGATCGTAGAAATCCGGAAGCACTTCGTTGGTCCACCTGCGAATTCGTCGGTTGAGAATCGGGTTAACAGAAAAATAAATATAACCAAGTCGTCTCGATTTTGAAAGGACAAAATCTTTTATATATATATATATATATAAAAGCAAACACACACACACACAAAAATTGTTGCACATGGTTGAATGTTTCTTGTATGTGAACAGTAACCCAACAAACACTTCGAATAATTTCGGTAAAGGAGAAATGTGGTCTTCGTTTTAACCCCTTTTGATTTGTTCTTAGCGCAACTACTACAGCCTTCGACGTCCCCGTTCTCAGTAGTAGTAATAGTAGTAGTAGTAGTAGTAGGAGGAGGAGCTACTTAGATGTTAGCGGTGGTATTTCGCTTCTTCGCCCTCAGCTTCGGCAACACACACAGAGGACGCTTCCTATTCAATATCTGACGTCTCTCCACTCAGTTCGACTGAATTCGAAGACAGACGAACACCAAAAACTCTGCTTCCTCCGATTGGCTCGGCTCTTTATTAAGAGAACCGGCCTCTGGTGACGTATCTGTTTTTCTAGTGCGAACGTACTGACATACTACCAAAGTACAACTTCACTCCTCCGAAAATAAATAATTTACTTTTTCATCGATTGGTTTCCAATGTTCACAACAAGATGCTCTTGTTTATCACCTCGTTATTAATTAGTCTGCCGCTCTTTGTAAACTACAGAGAATCTTGTTTTAAAAATAAATTCTAAATCAAACCATCCTCAATTTTAACTTCGATTCTTATAGTGTCAAAATCCATTTCTTTTTTTAAAAGTTCCAAATTATTATTGTTCCAGTATTTTTCTATTAGCAATCTGATATCCTTTGTACACTTACAAAAAGATTGTGTTTCGTGTTCTAAATTAACTTTCTGCAACATTTACATTTCAAGGTCTTTACAGCATATTAGCATCTTGGTTATTCGAAAACGCCTCTCTTTCACTTGGTGTTTTCTGTTTTACAGCATATCCTCCTTTATTATTGTTATTATTAATTCAGGGATGATATCGCCCCTGCCATATTTTTTTACAGGAAACAGAAACTTGAAACCGAAAGGATCATTGGGATATGATCCCTTCCAAAACTAAGCAAAATATTAAGAAACAAGAAAATTTCGTTAGAAACAAAGTGCTGAACTTTTTTAAAAATCGAATTTACCCCGAGCAAGGCAGTAGAGTCACTAAGAAACAAGGGGTTACTGGATGTGAAAGAATTAGAAAATTGAAAACATTATGAAGGAGGGAGAACAATAGAAGAGTAATCAGGAATGTAGTAGATAACGGTTGACATTGCTTTGCTAAATGTAGATCTGTATATTTTTTTTATAAAATGTGCTTCAATTATCTTTAAACATATATTACAATTAGATGTTCTTTTTTAATGACACTGTTACCTACAAAGATTATTCTTATGTGTGCAGGGAGCTGGTTATGAGTGCTTAAGTGCTTCTTTATCGAACTAAGTTCACTGAAGGGATTAATTTTCCTTGACCGTCACATTTACCAAAACATAGGTAGATTTAAAGGCTAATTTATCTTGTCTCTACTCACTTTACTTTACTCGTAAAATTAAATTTATTTTCAGAAATATTTATCTTAAAAAACGGTCGGAGTTTGTATTCGACGAAACAATTTTTTTAACATATATCTTCTAAAACACATGTAGCTACTAAATCTAGCATAGATAATATAATCCATTAATACGTTTTTGGTATGAAAATAAAGTTAACAGATATGGGTTTGAGATTAGCTTAAAGAGAGGTGGACTTTTCTAAATTTGAGAATAAAGTCTTGTTTCGCCATGAGTGTCTTTCCAGGCTATACAATGGTTTCTCCAACATAACGATGACACAAGTTCGAATCCTACCGAATGGCACAAAAATTCAGGGCAGCAGACGACAATCATACTGTTTAAAAACACACAGGGATATCTACTCAAACACGCAGGACCGGTGCAAGGGCCTCGCATCCCCCACCCACAAGTTTATGATACGGTCCCCTCCACTCAACTAAGTCAGTTATGTGCCATGCGTGATACACGCTTAGACGATCATGTATCTTTCGATATATGACTGACGAGGCAGATTTTTGGGTTGCCACTTCTTTCTGCGGTAGATCCAAGGCTATAGAACCCACTCTGTTCTGCTATTTACCCATATCTGGGGGGGGGGATTCATACCTTTCCCAAGGGTATTAGCACGTAAGTGAATATAATGGATTCGACTGGAATTCGAACTCCACTCAGGTACATCTCAATTTTCATAAAGTAGTATTCTTTATTTTATTGTAATTATTTATCTACCATAATGCATCACAGGAAATATAGATGAAGAATTCAACTCGAAAAACTGAAAATAAATACAATTTATATCGATAGAAATTAGGGATATGTCATAAGAGATCATTCTGCCTTAAATATTTTGCGGCAATTTTTAACATCAACTTGAGATTTTTCTTGTTAAAAAGTTGAATAATTTTAACACATTCAACGCTATGGATAAAAAGGAGTGAATTTTAAACAGCGTTTTTTTTAGGTTGTTTGTTTGTTTTTTGTTTTTTTCTTCTTTTTTTACTTGGCATAAACAAAACAACTTCGCGGATTTGAACGTAAAAAAAAAAATGAATAACATCAAAATCCGCAAATAGTTTTTTTAACTTTCAATAGTCATTCGTACTTAGTTTACTTTGCAACGTATATAAATGTAGGAAGAAAAAAGCAAATGATACCGAGGGTCGCAAACCATTTCCCAGATTCGAGTGGTTCGGTGGTAGCAGGCACCGGCCCTGTAAACACGTGTATACACTAAGTGTAACGTATATAAATTTAATACGAAAAGTATTGACTTGAAATTATCTTTTAATTCCTTTTTAATAAAGTGTTTGGAACTGATTGATTTTATTCGTTTGATTAACTTATCTGTAATTACAATAAATGGATTTCTCTTATTCATATCTGTATATGAACGATAGAGAGGGGGGTTGAGAAGTTGACGGAGTGAGAGAGTAGGAGAGATGAGGGAGAGTGATAGGGGAGAGAGGGCGTTGGAACTAAGATTTTGCCTTTGCGTTTGGCGCAAGTTAGATTTCTGGCGCTTGAGTTGAGAAAAATGAAAGTGTTTTAAATGGAATGAAAAGAGGATGGTGAAAGAACTTTTGTGTGCAACAGTGCGCTCCCACTCTACGCATGCGTGTGCGTAATTAAGTTAAATCTATCTATCTATCTATCTATCTATCTATCTATCTATCTATCTATGTTCGTCTTCCATTCTAATTTTTAATTAGTGCGCGACTTTGAGTGTGTGCGCGAGCGTGTGTGAAACTAAATTAAATCTATCTATCTATCTATCTAGCTATCTATCTATCTATCTATCTATCTATCTATCTATGTATATATATATATATATATATATATATATATATATATATATATATATATATATATATATATATATATATATATAATCTTTTATATCTTTATCACAGACTGTATCTATCACAATCTGTTCATATCTATCTATCTATCTATCTATCTATCTACATGTTTTTTAAAAGAGTACGAGACTCTCTCTCTCTCTCTCTGTACGTGTGCGTGTGTACGTGTGCGTGTGTGTATTTCGTTTATGGGCAAGGAAATGGTTTGTTGATGGGTTGGTGATGGAATGTCGAATATACACGAACGATAATTCTCTTTGATCTCCCACAAAATCGCTTTTTTAAACACGGGAACGTTTTAACGTTGTACCTTGTCAGTATTTGACGTGTTTTTCACTTGGACAAAATGGCAGTCATTTAAGAAGCAATAAATAAATAAAAATAAATGATAAATTACCGACAATTCTCATTAATTCTTGTCGGCGCACTTCGCTCTTTATCCAAGTTAATATTTGTCTGAATTTTTTTATATCACTTAATCCGCTCATATCTACCTGCCAATCGCTAGATTAGCAGACATATATGACCACATTTAGTGAGATCTACTATCTGAACCGTTTTCCTTTCTTTCTTTCCATATCTATTTATGTAGATATCTACATTAATTTTGCTTTATTGCTCTTCTTTTACTTCCTTTTACAGATCTCTCTCTCTCTCTATCTCTCAGTCTGTTCATATCTATCTATCTATCTATCTATCTATCTATCTATCTATCTATCTATCTATCTATCATCTCAGTTTATTCATATGTATATATCTGCCTATCAATCGCAGTCTGTTTACATCTATCTATATATCTATCGATTTATTTATTGATCTATCACTTTATTACTTTACATATCTTTCTTTCTTTTTCTTTCCTAAATTCTTTCTCAATATCTATCTCGCATTCCGTTTTTCTATTTAGCTTTCGATGATTCTCACTCCATCATACACACATATACACACGCACATCCTCTCACTACCCTTCTCTCTTTCTCACGTTCTTTCCCTGATTTTCTTTCCTATTTTCTCATTTCGTCTCTCTCTCTCTCTCTCTCTCCCACTCTCTCCTCCCTTTCTCTATAATTCGCTCTTTTCCACAGCTTATGTTATTCTCTTCAGGTTACATGTACTGTCCATTTTAGTTGTTGCTGTTGTTGAAAGTCTTCAAGTGATGCTGTTTCTGTTATTTGGTACAGTTCTTTGCCCGTGTTCCTGTAGTGCCAGACCACGAAATCCGAAGAAGTATGATCCTCTGGATGAGCTTCAGGGTTCATTTGCCTGTAGCCATTTCTTGCCATTGATGTGAGGAAGCGTTTGTACACAGCCGACAATTATGACATTTCTAAACGGGTTTGGAGTGAGGGGTGGGGGCAAACATGGCATCCATATGTAAGTCTCGATCCGATGAGGCTACTAATTCGCCTGAAATGAAATGACCAAAATGTAGTTTTTAAAATTGTTCTACAATTATTAATTGCGACTATGATTAATTGCCGTCACCGCTACATTCCCTCTCATTGTTTCTGTCTGCCAGCATGTCTGTCTCTCTTTTTATTTAAGAAAAGGCTAAAGTGCCAAGCAACCTCGAAACCCTAGCCTTTAACCTTTTCTTAAATATTTTAGCTCTACATATTCGATTTTGAATTTTGTATTGAGCACTTTTTTGTTGTCTAAACCTTTTAGGCGCGGCTGTTTTCAGTCTTCCTTTTGCATTTTTATCCGTATACATACAAACATACATATATAAACAAATGACACCAGAGCAGTTATGAATGTACGAGATTCATGGAAGATTGAAGTTTATAAGCAGTAAATTCGACCTTGCTTACCGCACGCTCTTTTGTGGCCGAGACGGTAAGGCACGTCAGCGTAAATGACGGTTCCGTATAGGATGCAGGTTCGAATCCTGTCAAAGGACGAATATTCAGGCCGGTAATGTTATTTAATACGGTTTATTATAAACAGAGCATTTACTTAAATACTTGTATCTATAAAAAAGAACGTTAAACATAAAAACGTCTTTAATATATATATATTCGCCGTTTTGAGTTTCAGGCACGTGTCAATCGTCAGGCACAAATTCAAAACTGACTGTTTTAAAATATTAATATTTATGACCTACTGTTAATACAGTAGCGCAATCCATTTACTTATGAAAAAAATATTTGTAAAAAAAAAATATATTTATTTATTTTTTTCATAATTAAATGTACTGCTCTACTATATTAAGAGCAGGTTATACGCAATGATATAAACATTTTACAATGTTCAGTTTTCGATTTGTGTCCGACGATTGCCACGTGCATGAAAATCAAAGTTGTACCAAACGACGAGAAACAAATCGATTAGTATAAGCCTCAGCTCCGTTATTTTACACCGAACACTGCTTTATTATCACTAGCACTCACTGTTATGTATATGTATATATTTGTTCTTTATCTATCTATCTATCTATCCCAGTCTATTCATATCTATCTATCTATCTATCTATCTATCTATCTATCTATCTATCTATCCCAGTCTATTCATATCTATCTATCTATCTATCTATCTATCTATCTATCCATATCTATCTATCCCAGTCTATTCATATCTATCTATCTATCTATCTATCTATCTATCTATCTATCTATCTATCTATCCCAGTCTATTCATATCTATCTATCTATCTATCTATCCATCTATCTATCTATCTATCTATCTATCTATCTATCCCAGTCTATTCATATCCATCTATCTATCTATCTATCTATCTATCTATCCCAGTCTATTCATCCATCTATCTATCTATCCATCTATCTATCTATCTATCTATCTATCTATCTATCTATCTATCTATCTATCCCAGTCTATACATATCTATCTATCTATCTATCTATCTATCTATCCCAGTCTATTCATTCATCTATCTATCTATCTATCTATCTATCTATCTATCTATCTATCTATCTATCTATCCCAGTCTATTCATATCTATCTATCTATCTATCTATCTATCTATCTATCTATCTATCTATCTATCTATCCCAGTCTATTCATATCTATCTATCTATCTATCTATCTATCTATCTATCTATCTATCTATCTATCTATGTTCCACCCAATCATCCTCTATTTAAAAAAAAAAATATCTGTTTCTCCATTTCTAATTCTTTTACTTCTATCTCTTAATTTTCTAAGTTCTCTCTCCACTTTCTTCTCCTTCCTTCTCATTTCTTTTTATTATTCTTTCTTCACCTTCATCCTCACTCTCTTTGAATTTCTATTAGATCGTTCTCTTTACCCCTTCTCTCTATCACTTACTAGTTTCCTCCTACTAACGTTACGCTCTCCTTGATCTTCTCTGCTCACTCCACCCATTTTTTAGCCCTACCCCACCATTCCTCAAAAACTGTTACTTTTGCAGCTAAGCAAAAATGTTCAAAGTGAAACCCAGGCAAATTGCAAGTCATTGGGAAATCAACATCTACCTTCTGGCCATATCAAACCGTTTGATCTGACAAGATCAAAGGCAGAATTTCTTCTTTTTTTTTGTCGATGACACTCTCCCCATCCGTTGCTTTCGATCTCTTTGTAGTCCGCCATTTTCTCCACTTCGCTTTCTATTGATTTATCTCTTTTATCAACTTTGGATAAAATGTTCCACATTCTTCCCCCACACTCAATTCGAACAACCCACCCGCTCCTACGTTTACCCATTTTCTATTTCGTTCTGTTTCCTATATGCTACTCTTCCCATTCTCCATCCCCACCAATTTGCTTTACCCGTTGTCTCGGCCAAATACTACCAAATAGGAGGCTTGGCGGCCGTAACTGTGTTCGTAATACTAATTACAATCAAATAACTATAACTCTTAACAGCTTAAATACAGAAACAAGACTAAACCGAACACAATCGAAAGATTGTCGAAGTCATTTTCTGTTTTTTTTTTTATTATTCACCCAGTAAAGGCTCAAAAGCCACTCAAGATAGAGGATTACTTTGTGGACTTATTTTAACATAGGAAAGAACAAACGTTAGGTGTATAGAGATGAAACAGACTTTAACAGAAACCGGAAGCCTAAACAGGAAACAAGGGATAAACCTCTACTCCGGGGAGGGGTGTGAACTGGACGATAGAGATTACGCTTGATCCGAGCATGCCGGATACATGCATCCTTAAAGGTGTTGCATCACTCCCTAAGTGCTCCCACTCTGTACAATTTAAACCCAGCTCTTCCCAATGCTACACATCTATGTGCAATGCATTCAGATTTGTAAACCTCTTCCTAGGTTTGCCTTTTGGAAGTTTTCCTGTCATCAGTTCCCCATAGAAATGTTGTTTGGAAATTTAAGTCTACACACGTCACCACTCCCTTGTCGATATGGAACTTTTTAAGTAAAATCAGATTTGTACGACGCAGATAGTGAAACATGAACGAGAAATCAGGATAAGATAAAAGAATATCCTGAAACAATGAGCTAAGATGCTGAGACATATGCACATCATTGGATTATAGTGACAAACGCTTATTCAACTCGAATGTCAATCTCTGAGTCTCCCTGATTCTCACTCCATCATACACATATATACACACGCACACGCACATTCTCTCTCTCTCCCTTCTCTCTTTCTCACGTTCTTTCCCTGATTTTCTTTTCTATTTTCTCATTTCGTCTCTCTCTCCCCCACCCTTTCCTCCTTTCTCTATTATTCGCTCTTTTTCACTGCTTATGTCATTCTCTTCAGGTTACCTGTACTGTCCGTTTTAGTTGTTGCGGTTGTTGAAAGTCTTCAAGTGATGCCTTGTCAAGTGTCAAACCAAGATAACTAATAATCATTTTCTTTTTCTGAGTTTTCCCTCTCACCAGATGTCATATACATATATGCACAAAATACACATACATACATACAAGTGGGGTATCTAATGTATGGCAAGTAGGACATGTGCCATGGACGCCACTTAGGGAACGCCATGATGCCACTGAACACGAAAAAAGTAATTTAGCGTCTAATATTCATTAATTAAACTTTAAGAACTAAATCATGCCAGTGATAGAGTTTTTTTTGTTATTGATGTCAACCTTATTGTTGAGTGATTGTGAATGACAAATTTGCATCTGTGAAAGGAAGGAAGGTAGAGTCTTAGGCCTAACCAACACCTTTTTTAGTTCCTTGCTTTCACTTGTCTTCATGCAGTATTAGTGCAATAACTTATCAAAATATAGTCTTCTTCTACAGCCATTTTATCATTGTTTTTTGTTTTTTTTTCTCAATTAAGAATGTAAAGAGCACTTTGGTAGGATATCAGACAAGGCTGCAATTTTAGTGCTTTGCCATGGGTACCACTTTCTGTACATATAGAGGAAACAAAATAAGAGGGGAAAAACAAAGACATTTACATTTGAGAAAACATTTGATGCTAGACATACAAAATGTTGAATAACTTAAGTATTACAAATATAGGAATTATATTATAAACTGAAATAAAATAAAAACAGTCTTCTTGTGATAATTCTCAATGAAAAAATTAAAATACTCATCTTGTGAAATATTTTATTGATATCGAAATATAAGTTAAAAGATGTTCTTCTTGTGAAAGCATTATATCATATTATTTGTTTTTTTCTCTCAATTAAGAATGTAAAGGGAAATTTAGGCGTGTTTTCCTATAGTCTGGGATCTGACGTAGAAGCCCTGCCGGCTACAGCTCTGTCCTGTCTCTCCGGTGGTTCTGGCCGAAAAGTAAACCACCCGGTCCTCCTCCGGTGAACTGAAGGAACCACCACTATCCGCCACGTTGTGAATTTTTTATCTGAACAGCAGTATTGCGATCCCTCAGAACGATCCGGAGGTAGGATGAATTAAATGGCTGGGCTCCACGCTGAAAGAAATCGCTATTTGTGTAGAGAGGTTCTTGTCGTAACCGCAAGGGCACAAAGAAAAAAAAAATAAGCAAGACTTTCGGTTCCTGTACAAAGAGCCCTTTAAGGCTACTGTTTTTATATCACTAGGAAAGAAACTGCACGAATACAAACTGTCTTAACGAGATTCACTCGTTTGGGTCGGAACGTCACAGAGAGAGAAAGACACAATTATGCTGGTCAAAATTCGGATGTACTAAAGGAGATAAATCGTGGTTCTTCGTCTGCCCCCTCCGATATAGCAGTCGGCTTTTCTCAGCTTTGTTGACGAAGTTATCTGGATTCGCATGGGTTCGATTTCTATCTCTTGGTATGATTCGGATTTTTTTGACTCATGCAACCAACTGGCCAGATCAGCAAGACCCACTAAGCCGTTTCCGCCGCGTTTTCCTTCGCGTTCATTGATCTGCGATCTCTGATCTGCGGTCCCTGATCTGCGATCTCTCTCTCTCTCTCTCTCTCTCTCTCTCTGCCGCGTCTGCCGCTTCTCTCGCGTTCCGATGCGTTCTCCGATCCTATCCGATCTGATCTCCGATCTCATCTGCTCAACCCAAGCGTGCAGGCAGCTTATATAGAGAGAGGCGGAGCTAAACAGTTTTTAGGCACCGCCCACGAATTTTAATATGCAAATCGCCTGGGCCACCATGTGTTTTCCGTCGGATCTCCGAAGCTCCGCGGGAACACAGTTTTCAATCGGATTCGGACTCCCTGCTGGGTTTTCCGCAGACAACGTCCACTTAAGCCCGGCAAAAAGCACTTATCTCGTCTGAGGGCTCTGGCTGGATTTCGCCCGGCAGACCACCCAAAATCCAATTCACCATTTATCACAAACTTTACTTAACGAACCCGTCCATTAATTACTCTGGAATTAATTCACCTAGTTAATTAATAATTCAATCCCAGAAACAACTAAGTAAAAAGAAAAACTTGTTTCTGGAATTTACTCCGGAATCCCTTCTACCCAACTAATTAGTACCTTCTTCCCAATCCTTTAGAACCGTTGATTAATAAACCCATCTGGTGGGGGGATCTCTCTCTCTCTCTCTCTCTCTCTCTCTGTTTAATTATAACATTATATTCTGATAAAACTTAAGTAGTTGATAGAAGATTCCACATACCAATATATAAGATTACTTTTCATTCCTTTAAGCCCAGATTTTACATATTTTCGCATATGAGAAGCCACTTAGGTTTTCTCTTTGTTATATCCAACTTGGCAGCATCACGATTCTAGAACAATGATAAAATAGAACTACTGTATTTGAAATGGCAAAAGTTTCGTCGGTAGTTCTCACACTCTGATTGGGATACTCACAGAGGAAGGAACGATGTGTGAATTTATCTCAAACTTAAAAACCATTAATTTTTTTTCTTTTAAATGTTTTATGACCAGCAATAAACTCTATGAAGTGGTGTTTTCGAAGTGGCCACCTACTTGACCAAAATAAACTAAAATAATAGATAAATAAATGACAACCTTTGGGAACAATTGATCACAAACCGGAAGTTGAAGACCTCCAGTCGCAAGCTTATATTAGCAGTGACGTGATGAGGAAACGAGTAGAGATTTGGTAAGTAAAAGTAAGATTTCTTACTGATTGAATGGATAAACTGATCTGTTACTCTGTCTACCTACTGATCCAAACTGTGCAAGAGAATCTTTGGGATAAACAACGAATTATATTGGAAACAGTACCCGAGTCTTCATTTTCTCGCTTTGGCGTTTATTTTCCCCTTTCCCGTTTCCTTCTGAGCTGTCTTTTGTGCACATCGACGCGAATGAGAATAGAGACGTATCGCAGGGTTTCATTGTTCGATAGGCGAAATGTTGAGAGAGAGAGAGATAGAGAGAGAGAGAGATAGATGGAGAGAGAGAGATAGAGAGAGAGAGAGAGAGAGAGAGAAACCCGTTGTATGTTTACATAATATCGACTTTAGAAGAAATTCGAAATTTTCAGTTTTCATGTTCCTTCTACCACACTTGGCTTCATAATGTCCTGTGGTTGTTAAATTTTCGAAGCCCTCTTTCCTTATTATATATTGCAGACGTTTCATATCTCTCTTTCTGAATCGACAAATAAGTGTCTGAAATAGCACTAGTAGTAATCATATAAGCTGTGGTCAAAAAATGACAATTCCGAGAATTTCATGGTAAAATAAAATGATCATAGTAATGGTGCCAACCGTTGCAATAATTAAAGTAGTTTGTAAAGAAAATAGTACTGAACTGTTAAGTAATATCAGAACTTCTATATAAGGCAGTGAATATTGGAAAAGATTTTCACAGATGATGAGGAGACCTTAGGCAACAAAGATGTGATTCTACAGAAAGATGCTGACAATACCATATGAGTAACGTGGACATTTTAAAGAAATGGAAACAAAAAAGGCACAAAAAAAGGAAGAGGCAGATGAAAAAAAAGAGGAAAAGA